TCTTAAATAGAAAGACTAACGATGCCGGGAAGACCCCACCCTGTAAATATCAGCCTGCTCCTGCCGTAACTCCGCTAATTAGTCCTTTCTGTACAAAGCACGTGCAAGAATTAAAACTACAGACCTGGCAAATGCCTGCTCTGCTTCCCGGGATGCACGAAATAAAACCACTTCACTCCCTACACCTCGGGGAAGTGGAAACAGGGGCCACTCCAGCCCCCGCACCGAGTCCTGGCTCCCTTCGGAGCCACGGGGGAGGCAGGCGGTTTCACAGGGGAGGAGAAGAAGAAGAAGAAGAAGAAGAAGAAGAAGAAGAAGAAGAAGAAGAAGAAGAAGAAGAAGAAGAAGAAGAAGAAGAAGAAGAAGAAGAAGAAGAAGAAGAAGAAGAAGAAGAAGAAGAAGAAGAAGAAGAAGAAGAAGAAGAAGAAGAAGAAGAAGAAGAAGAAGAAGAAGAAGAAGAAGAAGAAGAAGAAGAAGAAGAAGAAGAAGAAGAAGAAGAAGAAGAAGAAGAAGAAGAAGAAGAAGAAGAAGAAGAAGAAGAAGAAGAAGAAGAAGAAGAAGAAGAAGAAGAAGAAGAAGAAGAAGAAGAAGAAGAAGAAGAAGAAGAAGAAGAAGAAGAAGAAGAAGAAGAAGAAGAAGAAGAAGAAGAAGAAGAAGAAGAAGAAGAAGAAGAAGAAGAAGAAGAAGAAGAAGAAGAAGAAGAAGAAGAAGAAGAAGGGGGAAAGATGGGATGGTGGAAGAATTCATTCTGGGGTGAGCAAATGGAAGCTTCCAGGTATCCGATCTCCAGCAGAAGATGGATGGCAGCGGAACAGTTAGCCGTATTCATTTAAGGGCTTGGAAAAGCGGGGAAAAAAAAAAGAAATCAAATATGAGATAAAAATGAACTTCTTGCAAATCAACTAAAATACACCCGAAGTCACGCGGCCAAAAGTGGGTGTTTGCGCCTGGCACCAAAAGCTGGCGGTTTCGGCCCAAAGCAGGGACACAGCTCTCGGCACCCGGCCTGCTTCCCGTTTCCACCCGCGCTCCGCTTTCTGCCTCGGGCACCGGAGCGGCGAAGCACCGGCACCCGGCTTTCGGCGGAGCGGCGACGCCACGCCGGAGAGCCATCACGGTGATTCGAACCGCGGCACGCCGCCTTCCCCCTCCATCCACACAAAAAAAAACCCCGAAAAATCCAATCAAGCCCGCGCGGTTCCAGAGGATCGTGCTCGGCAGAGCGGCGCAGATGGAATTCCCAGGAATTCCTGGCATCACCCTCATGCCGCGATCCGATTTATCGGGTTCCGGAGCGCACGCTCGATATTCGCCGCCGCGCGTTTCCAACGTCAACTCGCTGCCGCGCGGAGAAACTCCGCGATCTCCCGGTTCGCCGATTCGACCGGAATCTAACCGCGCACGGAGGGAGCGAGCCGCTCGGAGCGCCGCCGCCGGCAAAGCCTGGCTTCGGCAGGGGCTGTTAAAGTACGAGCTCAGAATGAAATTTTTCCTATATTTGGGGTTTTTGCCAAGGCTCTGCTGCTTTAACGCGGCCGCTCCAGCGGAAAGCCTCCCAAGTGACCCATCCCAAAGACCTTTCGCCTCTACGGGATTCCCGGAGGACAGTTTTCCATCAATTGAAATGGCTCCTCGATGCAACCAGATGAGCAGGAACCCGAGCGCTGTTTTATTCAGGAGCTCGGCGTGCCCAACACCGTGGCTGACATCCGAGGGAAACAAGATTTATGGGATTGCTTTGTATCCCGGGGTCACCAGTCATTCCCGAGCCCGGTGGCCGCTTTCACTCAAATCAATTAATGGTGGCAGAGGGGAG